CACATTTACATTGACAGTTACAGAGCAAGGCACTAGCATCCACTATAAGTTGTGTATTAATTTCTAGTTTTTCTAATGTTCTACATTTCGGACAGAGCTCGCTTTTATTGATAATATTTGAAAGTTCAAGCAGGTGATAGCTTCTAGCAGAAGCTAAAGCAGGACGGCAGGCTACTCAAAGAAAGTCATGACAAGTATAATTTTCATGTACCAAAAAGATTATCTACATCGGCAGGTAAAAATGCGGACAACTTTTTGAAAATGTCGGAATGACGGACATAGGTAACACTATATGTCACGGCCTTCTTGGTGGTGGAACATATAAATGGATAGAAGAATGATAGTAAATGACTAACATAGCTCACTCTAGACCTATTAAGCTTTGTAAACTAACAAGTTTGAGCAAATATATATTTCTGTATTAAAAAGGGTGTGAATAAAAAGTTTATAGATGTTATGCATATTAGTAGTTTGAATATATCGTATTGTCCGCGAGTCATTTGGACAAGTGTGGTGTTAGATATCTCATTCGCAATCATACCAAATCTCCTTATTCTTATACTTAATAACGGATCTTCTGCAAATAAAGGCACAAGGCAATAGAAATTACATGTTTTTTTAAGGAGGGTTCGTATTGTCAAAATATCAAGTACTGTGTAAATTTATACACGAACGTATGTGTATATATATATGACGAGTTGTGTTCAGATAAAATGCTGGCCAATTTTTCGGATCGTCATGGATTGCATTACTATTATCCTATTTTGTTTTCGACATTTTGTTTCTCATTGTAACACAGACGTTTTGTTTAATATTTTTATATTGTCTTTTTCCAATCTAAATCTAATGTTACATTCTGTGTGTGCGAAGAAATTTGAGTAACCTCTTTATCAGATTTGATTTATTCCATTAACAGTTTATTACATTAAAAATTCCTGAAATTATAAGCGATAACATGAGTAAGATTTTAGGTGACAGAATATATCCCTGCATCTCCCAAGTGCCCGCAAATGAGAAGCTTATTGGACCTTTTGTCATGATAAATTGTTCTTGGCTTTTCGATACCTTCCGGTTTAAAAGACTTGAATGATCTGCCGTCGGACGAAATAGTTGCAGCGTACTAGAATTTTTTTTTGTAGCGGCAATTTTCACTACAAAAGCTTTTATTGTAATGACTATTTCATTATAACTTAATGTGCAAAGCAAGAAAATTTGAATTTTTGGTATCACTTCAGCTATATTATTATACCAAGGAATTGTATAATCTTGGAATGTCCGTAGTCTAGTGGATAAGATTAATGACAAAAATATTTGTCGATTTATTAAATAATGATTTAAATATTCTACTTGAGACATGGAAAGGCGACACTGCAGAATTTAAAATTCCAGGGTTTAATTTTATCTCAAAATCCAGGAAAAAAAGAAAAAAGCAAAACGCCATAGTGGTGGTATCATCATTTACATTTTTGGAAGGGAATTGTACACTTAGAAAAATCAACTATTTCAAAAAATCGCATTTGGCTTAAACTAAATAGATTATTCTTTTGGTTCTCCCAAGATGTTTTTATGTGTGCGGTGTATATCCCACCTGTTTCATCGAGCCAATATGAATATGATTTGATATCACTAGAAGAAGAAATATGCTCCTTTTCGAATAAAGGTAAAATACTACTTATAGTAGATTTTAATGCAAGGACAGCAACAAATCCAAATTGAATTGAAGAAGACTCTCCTCGTCTTAACTTATTTGATGGTAAAAATATTTTACCAGATGAATACAAATCCGATAATCCTATTTTAAATTGGTACTTATATTTATTAGGTCTTTACACTTTTCTGTGGACAGACCTATTGTATTTGTTCTGATTATTATTAGGTCTTTCCACTTTTCCGTGGAAAGACCTATTGCTTTTGTTCTGATTATTTTTTTTCTTCCGCCAAATTTTGTTCCTTTGCAGTTTTGTTGTTTTGCAAGATGTCGCTTAGATATTTGGAATATGATATCGAACAGTTTATACGCATTTGAAACTGACACCGCGTAAAAAATACTTTTCCTTGTAAGAGTTATCTCCCAAAACACTGTTTTCCTTGTTATTTCTAAAACTTCCGAACCGTATAAGATTACGACAAATTTATTTGACCAAATTGTTAGTTATATCCTCAGGATGTTTTGATTAATTTTGACGGAAGATATCCGGAGACTACATATGAGAGTTATTTCCCCTTATGCATTCTATATAAGTGATACATATGAACTCATAAACCGTAAGGCGTATAAACCTAGAGTCGTTTTATTTGAGGTCCTTGGGTCCAACTTAAAAAATGAGGTCAAGGTCAAAGGTCAAGGTCATGTTCTAAATTTTGACATTCACTTCATGCTGCTTTTACTCAGAATAAAGTTAAGGGGTAAAACTAAAAAACAAAATTTGATCAAAATGTTAGTCGCGACATGATTTAACTGGAGAGTTTTTGTCGAAATGGTACGCGTCATTTTTGGGGGGTTCCATGCCACTGAAATGGAAAAATGAACAAATTAACTAATTATAGCTTCAAACTTTACAGCTATGATGATGCGTACATGCAATTTATCTTTGTTAATCATCCAAGGCCCACAACCACCCCTCTAGCCCCCTCCCCCCTTTTTTTTTGGAATTCCATTTCTATTTTATTATAAAAATGCTAATCCTTCTTTTTTATGAATAAATTTCTTTCTGAAATACAAATCCATTCCTGCAAAAATCTGCTCCAATTCATGTATTTCTGAAAATTAATCGATAAACGTTTTGTTAAAGTATTATAACACCAGCATTATTTTGTGTGCATGCTATGAATGACGACCAGTGGTCAGCGATTGGACAATAGTTTACCTGTAAAATAAATCGAGAAAATATATTTTTCGTTAGCAGTATAAATCACGTGCAGTCCGCTTGACGTTCCAATCTGGATTGAGAAATTAAAATCAAAGACGTAGAAATCGCTCCAAAGTTCGTAAATAGTAGTAAAATCCTAGATTCAAATTTCTAAACATGCATTAAAAAATAAAACTGTGTTCCCATAAATATGTGTACTAAAAAAGCATGCATAATCCGACATCAATGACCTGTAAATGAAAGAAGATTTAAATCCGTTTGCACACAATCTTTATACACAGGTCTGGTCTTGACGACAATCCCTCTGCAAACTAATTTTTGTGTGTATCAGCTTGGTGACGTTACAATCACACCATCTGCAGCCGCGTGCTACCTAAAATAAAATAGGGGTTTCCCCTTTTCGAAAAGAATTAAAATGTGCACGAAGATAAAAAAAAAAAAAAACAAAAGATCCATGCAGGTCAGGTCCGATTTCCTTGAAATACAAAACTGAATACAATGCACACACAATAAGATCAATAAGTAAATAAGACACAAATTCCGGAAAGTCCTATTAAAAAAGAGAACATTTATAAAGGAAGATGCAAGGATATTTTTTTTAGGTGTGTTTAAATCCTACAAATATTATAATTTGAATATAAACAAACATGTTACACGGACCAGTTTTCGCGTGTTCCTAGAGGCTAGGTTCCAAGTGTTCAAACACGGGAACAAGGCTCTCAACCCCTTTTTCGCGTGTTCCTAGAGGCTAGGTCCCAAGTGTTCAAACACGGGAACAAGGCTCTCAACCCCTTTTTCGCGTGTTCCTAGAGTCTAGGTCCCAAGTGTTTAAACACGGGAACAAGACTCTCAATTCCTTTTTCGCGTGTTCATAGAGGCTAGGTCTCAAGTGTTTGAACACGGAAACCAGACTATCAATTCCTTTTTCGCGTGTTCCTAGAGCTAGAGGCTAGGTCTCAAGTGTTTAAACACGGGAACTAGACTCTTAATTGCTTTTTCGTGTGTTCCTAGAGGCAAGGTCTCAAGTGTTTAAACACGGGAACTAGGCTCTCAATTCCTTTTTCGCTTGTTCCTAGTGGCTCGGTCCCATGTGTTTAATTAGTCAATAAAAAAAATCAATTAATCTGTCATGTTTCGGAAAGGAAAGACCGTAAACAATTGTTTTAAAAACAATTGATTTATATTTAGGTCTTTCCACTTTTCTGTGGAAAGACCTACTGTATTGGTTCTGATTATTATTTTTTTTTCTTCCGCCAAATTTTGTTCTCGCGTAAAATTTTTGTTTCGCAATATGTCGCTAAGATATTTCTTAAATAGTATCATACAGTTTATGCGCTTTTTATTTTCACCCATTCTAAGCCGAACACTTTTCTTTGTAAGAGTTATCTCCCTATTTACTGTTTATTAAGTGTGTACATCTCCTTCGTAACAATGTTGGCGGACATTTGTTTTACTCTTTTACAACATATTAGAGCAATGGAGTTGATTTATTATTAAATAAATAAATAAATTTTTAATAAATTTTGTATTTTATTTGATGAAAATGAAAACATTTGTCTATACCTACCTAGGATTTTGACACAAACATGTGAAACACCGCCACATTCTTTAAGTGCTTAAAATCAGGAGCCTGTAATTCAATGTGGTTGTCGTTGTTTTGTGTCCGTCATATTTGTTTATCGTTTATTGATTCGGCAGAAATGGGACCGTTGTTTTTCTCGTTTCAATTATTTCACACGTTGTCATGTCAGGGCATTTTAAAGTATGGGTTTTACACATTGCTGAGGTCTGTACGGTGAACTATATTTGCTTGCATTCACGTCACTTGGACTATTGTGGATAGTTGTCTCATTGGCAATCTTACCCCATCTCCTTATTCGTATACTTTTGTTAGAAGAATTCGTTTTGCCCCAAATATAAGTTTTCAGTATTGTGTGAATTGACACGAACGTATATGTTTGTGATGAGTAGTGAACTAGTCTGCCTTTTCTTTTTTTTTTATCGTCTTAGAATTGCATCATCTTTAGAAGTTTGGCGACGTTTTGGTTTCTTTGTAACAAAGTTGTTTTTGGTATATTTATTGTTTCTATTTTGTGTGTGATGCTACCTTTTGGATGTACGAAGCAGTAGTCACCTCTATATTATATTCTATATATTAAAGTATTACATGAACATTATTTGACAAAATAAACAATAACATGATGGTAACTTTAGTAGACGGAATACATCCCTCCATCTCCATTTTGTTCGCAAATCAGAAGTTTATTCGTCCTTTTATCATAAAACAGTGTTCTTGGCATTTTTATACCTTCTGGTTTAAAAGATTTGAATACTTTGCCGTCGGGTGAAATAATCGCAATGCGACCTGAGTTGACACCCGCAACATAAACATTTGAGTTGTTATCAACGGCAACTCCGCGCATTTTCTTAATTTCGTCACGATTTTGCCATCTCCAATGGACTTTTCCTTTCATGTCATAACAGGTTACCATGTCACTCGAGCTATCGGTACTATAAATTTTATTCTTGAATACAGTGACATACTCATTGGAAGTATAACTTCCAAATTTCAAAGGATAAACATTTCCTGTGTCCAATGATCTCATTTCTAAACCTCCTTCTCCACAACTGTAGATCAGAGTACTTTCGGAAAATGATATACCAAAGCAGCCGTATTTAGCGTCTATCACTTTGGAAACCTTTCTGGTTTCAATATTGAAGATAACAATTGATTTGGAAGACTTTGGTGTTGTTATCGCTACTGTTGTCTCATTGATTACAGCAATGTCACAAGGTGAAATTCCAATTTTGTCAGGTTTCAAATCAAATATTTTGCTGCCATTCTCGTCAAGCAAACTTAAACAACTATTGTTACTTAATAAGGTATCACAATAGGAAAATAGAAAGTTTTTGTTTTGAAATACTACAAATCCCGTTACTAAACCAAATTCACTTTTACCTGGTCTAGGAACCACTACCTTCTTTTCAAGTAACAGTTGCATACTGTCAACATGTTTGCATGGACCGCTTACTTTTTGTGCTTGATTCACTTTTGACTTCTCATGAATGATTTTCGTCTGTTTATATGTACTTGATATTTCTCCAAAAGATTCAAAGTCTCCAATGATATTTCCCAGTTTTTCGTCCATTACAAATGATATACTGGGTCTATCCAAACTGCCATCTTCGCATAAAACTTCAACTTCTTTTTCATTCTTGTATAACTCTCTGTCCACTTCTTCCGTGCTCAAGAAAGTCTGCAAATTAGAGGCATACTGCTTAATTGATATAATGGTTTCAAGTAGGCTCTCTATTCGAGTGTATTGTTCCTTTAACTGCGTTGACAATTTTTCGATATTTTTTTGATGGCGATCCTCTTGGTTGGACAGTTTGTGCACAATTTGCCTCTCTAAGAAATCGATACGCTGATTAATGTCCAGTCGTATTTTTCTGATTTGTTTCTCGATCGTCTTACGTTGAAGTTTTATTTCATTTAAGTTTCCTTCTTTTTCTTTAATCAGTTCAGAAAAGAATTTCTTCAGACTATAAAGACGTTCCTCAATATCTGCGAACGCGACTGATGATTTTGCGTCCTTGATGACATCATCAAGAGGTGGCAAATCGAAACATTTCTTATGATCTGTGTCGATGCATCGTTTGCAACAGGGACTCTCGTGACTACGACAGTAATTTTGGAAACGTGATCCATGTTTTTCACAATGATGCTTGGTTTCTAATACAAAAGACGGTAGTTTCAAGTAATTTTCTACAGCAATGACTTGATGATCTTTTGTTGCCTTGGCAATACCATGGTGTTTAATACATTCCGAACAATAGGCTTCTTCACATTCTGGACACCATTTGACAGCTTGTTTTGATATGGACTGCCCAGCACAAACGTCACAGGGAGCACTTGCAGATGTAGCCATGTGCCACGTTTTCCTGAAATTAAATAAAAAAATTGATATATTAGGGAAAATGTCACAAGTAAGTTAAACCAGTATAGTTTATTACAATCGTTAATCGCAGTCCGTAAGGGGAAAAAAATACCGTCATCACTTGATAGATATTTGTACCCTGGATTGATTGTGCTGCTCTATTCATTCAAAAGTATGATTGAACTGCAATGTGTTTCATCAAACCATACCATTCAACTGGTCAGAAATTTTCCTTACCTGGTAGAGAAGGACCACAGTCAAGTAATAATTCGAAGTGAAAAGATAAAGAATACTTAAAATACTTTATGAGATTTTATTTTATAAATTAAGCAAGTAAAAAAATATGAATCTGTTTTTTTCGACTTAAACAATTAACTTTGTTTGGATTATTTACAATTGAAATACGAACAAAACTGTATGAATATACAACTTTCTTGTCTTGATTTTGTATAAAATGCACTTTAGACATTGTAAAAGATAATTTTCCTAGACCTTTATTATATTGGACCAAGTCAGTATAGTGATTGTTCTCTTCCAATGGGCATAATAAAACCAAGTTTGGAAACTGAAACTAAAATATAGTTTATGGCTCAATGGATTTTCCGAAAACCGAAATTTTGAAAGTCAGACATTCAACATATTATAAGCGAGTTGATTTTGCTGCAATAGATACAGTGAACCATGCAATATATGAGAGGCGAAAGGTATCAGAGTGACATTCAAACACAAGAGTCGAAAATAAACTGACAACGCCATGGCTAAAAAAGAAAAGGACCAACTGACAAACAATAGTATACAAAACACAACATAGAAAACAAAAGGCTAAGCAACACGAACCCCATAATAACTGGGGGTGATCTCAGGTGCTCCGGAAGGGTAAACAACTCCTGCTCCACATGTGGCACCCGTCTAAATTATGAATTGTATGTCACAATGGATGTCTACATCTTCAATATTCCTAATCTTAAATGATAAAGAAATAAACAGATTTTTTTCTTTGAACAAAAGAAGCATAAAATGTAGGTTGATTGATCCTTAAACTTTAACCTAAAGTACTTGACGCGTTTGATAAATATATTATATCTTTATTTAAACAATTTGGGCCCGTGGAGGGCATGCATTTGTACATGTCAGTGAATCAATTACTGAATATTTACATAAAGTTAATAACATGGAGATATTGAGAGAAAGAGAGAAAAAAATAATTTCATTTCAGCTTAGACTTTATGTATACTATACCTTTTTTTTCACTCCGAAACATGGCATAGAAGCCGGCAGGGGGAAATGAGGTATTCCCCACCCCACCTTCAAAAATGGTAGAGTGGAAAACATTATGTTACTTCCCGTCTTTTTGGCAAGAAAGTAGAAACTGACTTACTTCTGGAATTTTACACGGTAGAAAAGTGTTTTGTTTTGTCACTTTTAAAAATTTGCACATAAAACATCAATACGATCATCTTAAATAATCTAATCATAGATACCAGGATTACAAGTTTTTCGTCTACAAAAGACTCATCAGTGACGCTCCAATCAAAACAGTAAAAAAGGACCCAATTCTGGAAGGTTTTGCCAAATACAGCTAAGTTATTTATTCCTGTGGTATTAATATTTGCCACATGACGTTAATCATGTAACAATCACTCAATCAATCTCAATAGGTATCATAGATTATCAAAGTCAAGTCGTTGTTGACAAAAAAAACAGTTTTGTTAACAGAAGAAACTTGTCCAAGTCAGAGTTTTGCCTCCGTAGAAGATTAAATATAAAATCAATTGTGGAATATACTTATTTTTTTAACAAGAATTTTTGCATAGTATAACATTCTGATAATAAAACAATCTTACCAATTAACCTCTAAATGTATAAGATGGTGTAAACAGCCAATAAGCTACGAGGAATTTAAACGGTCCCATGATCAATGTTTGTATTAACCATGTCAACGTATACAAAAGAATAAAAGAGGCCTTCGGTGGGGAATATTGTAGCCATATAGTCATAGATTCTTAATTCATGCAGCCATTATACCACGACTTAGGATGTTATTTTCTGATGTTTTAGTCTCGTTGAAATCTCGTTCGGGAATTATTTCCAAAACATGTGATACAAGTGGAAAATATTAATGAATTGAAAAATATTACAATCAAACTAAACTCTGTGAAATATTGTATACTTACAATAAGTAGTTTTTGAGAAATAAAATTTTAAAATTTTAAAACCAATTCGGTCAGTGTCATCAGACAAGATTGAAAAGAAATGGGTAATGGTACAAAGAAATTATTCTACTAAAATATGTACATCCCATTTCAATTTTTCTTTTAATAATTCTTAGTTTTTTTCTATCATTTATGACAGAGAATTTGAAATGATATGAACAAAATTTTATAACTTTCTAATATTAACACCCATGTATATTTTTTTTTAAGTTAAATTTATTCCGATTGGTCCACTCCATCTTAAGTGAAAGTCTGAAAAAAATTTAATTGTGAAACTGTGATTTTGTTCATGATAATAGCCCAAAATAGGTAAAAATTGATGAAAAATGGGAAACTCTGTAAAAAAGGGGTACTTTCAATTTGCCGTAGCATTAAAAAGAAAGGCACCACAATATGATGTTTTCTTCATCAATATGTTTTGGAGTTTAGTGTGGCGTCAATTTTCACTGAACTAATACACATTTTTAGGGCCTGCTGAAGCCCGCCTCTGGGTGCGGGATATTCTCGCTGTGTTGAAGACCCATTTGTGGTCTTCGGCTGTTTTCTGCTTTTGTTGGGTTGTTGTCTCTTTGACACATTCCCCATTTCCATTCTCGATTTAAAATTAAAAGAAAAGATGAGTAAAAAATGCTTCAACCAATTGAGGAGTATGATCATAATGCAGTCAGATAAAACGTAATATGATAAAAGACCAAGACGTCTTAAAATTGCAACGCGGTTGGTGAAGGAATCAAAGTTGAAGATATTGAAACTTTCACATTTCGAATTGTCAACATTCCATTTCCGAAAAGTAACATACCGGTACCTTCTGTCCCATCGTGTAGCGTATAGGGGCTGGCTCAAATAATACGTTTCACTCGCGCATGTTTACACTATATGGACTTAATTGACAATCACATTTGTGCTCCTGAGGAAAATAGACTAAAATCGACAACTGGTAATTAGATCCTTTTCCACAATTGTAGAATAGATGTCATGCTTTTGAGTTATTGTGTTGATGGATTTTATCTCCAGCATTTACGTATGTAATCCACATCTATTATTCATATTGTTGGTCTGACTTTAAATATTTCTTCATGCGATTGGTTTTAGGAGAAACATATATAAAATGGGTAGTATTTGTATCTCGGTTTTGCGGTTTTTTTTTTATTATAATAGTTGCAGCGTACTGGAAATTGTTCCTTTTTTTCTTTGCCGAGACGGGTAGCGGCAATTGCAGCACAAAAGCTTATATTGTAATGACTATTTCACTATAGTCCAAGATGCAAACAAGGAAACTTTGCATCTTTAGTATCACTTCAGCTATTTAAGTTACCAAGAAATTGTTTAATTGACTAAGATATGCAACTCATTAATTGGTATTTTTTTTTTATTTATATCATTATTGTTTCAAAGATACATTTAAAGTCATATGAAACAAGTGACTGGTGAAACATAATGTTAATCCAATTCTTGAACCAATGCATGGATATATCATAAACTTATTCTTCTGTGCACGATTTTATCATTTTTTACGTATCCATATCGTATTATTGTCAAAAAAAAATATTTCACTTGGTCAGTGTTGTTGTGAAAATATGGCAGCTAATTAATGGTCGTGTTTTGAAACCGAAGTTTACCGATTGTCACCTTTGTAAACAATCAACAAAGAAGCATGAATATTCAGGTAAGCACGTGTTTAACATGTACAATAAGATATATATATACAGTTTATTTGGATGACGGAGCGATGTTTACGTTTGTTGACTCTCTCTGCCAATTTGGTTTTCCCCTTCGCACTTGCGTATTGCCATCTCCGAAATTTTACGAGAAAGGTCATGCTGAGGTAACTGCATACGGAAGACATGTCGGCGAATTGTTGGCTGGAAGCTAACAATTAAAAGAAAGTAAATTTCTTCTAAATTTGGACAAATTAAAGAATTTTCTTCAAAAAAGATTATGTATATAAGTTTTATAATAAAAACTAGCCATTTAGTAATAAAAAACATATGTATCCTTTTTTTTTTAATTTGAAGTTTTATATAACTTTAAGACAGAAAAATCGTACTCTTTTTGAATTTTCATATGATATTTCTATTATCAACAAGCTTGTATTTCTGCTTGATGAAGACATGTTTGCACATTATTCCTTTTTTTAATGAATATCCCCATTGTACACCTTTCTGATCATTCATTGATAAGTGAGGCCGATTTGTCTCTCTTTAAACATGGGATTGACGATGGACTAAAAAAATAAGAGGTGATAGTTTCGAGTAAATTTTTTTCATAAACGGTTTTGTTTGAAGCTTCTCTAACTTTACACTGTTCGAGAGATCAATACTGTTTCTTTGAAATGAGCCATAAATGAATATGTCAGGCAAAACAAAAATAGATAAGTTCTTGTTTACGAGTTTTAAAAGATTTCCGAAATGTTCGAAGTCGGAAACTTGCTGGAAAACTGCCGCCTCAATTGACTGGAGACTTTGCGTGCATACCACCACTGAATATGACGTCATTGCCTGCTTTAAACATGTAAAATACATAAAATAAGCCTAGCGATACAGCGATTCTCAAGATTCATTTATTTAGCATAAAAAGCAATTATATCTTTTTAGCATGAGTATCTAACTGAATGATCCGCAACTGAAAAAAAACCCATCCTCAGACAACTGTTTTAATAAAGAGGCGAATGTATGACCCCAAAATAAGAATAAATTGATTAATTAAAACTATTATACTTTACGTTACGTAGATATATTCTCCCAATCCAGACTTTCTAGGTTTATCATTTAAAATATCAATATTGATTTAAAATTTTGTCAAATGATTTATCTCTAGAAAAGAATATATCTTTGAGATCTGCTCGTCTTACCTTTTCATTTGTTGATACTGACTGAAAACCTTGATCTGTTGAGAATTGTATATGATATGGATATTTTTTTTTGCAATAAACACATTACAAAAAAGTTCATATCTCAAGTAGAATAGGTCATGTAATCAATATTTCATGATTCAATGATTTTGATTATAGCTTCTCTTCTATTAAACGGTTAAGTTTTGTGTAGGAGTAAATATATTTATCTCTGTAACTTCAACTACTAGAATCAACTTTTTTCAGATATTCATTTTTTGAAGAAGTGTTTGACGATTTGTCGTAACTTCATGCAGACAACTGCCTCAAATTTATTTATGAATAAAGAAACGAGATGGAGTAATAGCACAAAAAATACCCCCATTATGAAGCAAGAATATTTCAATTCACTGTACCAAGTCAGGAATATGGCAGTTGTTATCAAATAGTCGGTTTCCAAAAATGTTGTCGTTTGTTTTCGAAGCAGTTCAGTGTTTCTGTTATTCCGCTGTTTTCATCGTATAGTTGATGTGTTTCCCTCGGTTTTGGTTTGTTACTCGGATTTATTTTCGCTTAATCGATATATGACTATTGAACAGCGGTATACTACTGTTGTACTTATCAATTCAAAAATAGTTTATGTATCGTAATTATCTTTCATTAAAAGTGTTTTAATGCGATTTCATAACCGTTCTGATATTGTTAAAAAATCAAATTTTAGTGGGTTTCGTTGGTTCATGTTTGTCTGGTTCATTTTTGTCAAGTTTGTTTTTCGTAATTTGTTATAAATTAGACCATTGGTTTTCTTATTTGGATTGTTTCACATTTTTCATGTCGGGGCCTTTTATAGCCGATTATACGGTACGATTTTTTTTCTCATTGTTAAAGGTCGTATGGTTGCCTATATTTCATTTTGACATCCACTTCATTTAAACTCTGGTGGAAAATTATGTCATTGGCAATCATACCAAACTCCCTCATTTTTATACAACTACTATTATGTTATATAATTCAGGATGTAAATTGGAAGAGCCACATCATCTCTCCTAAAGTCTGAATTCGCTGCAGTCAACACTGATGCAATAACACTGATAATACAATTTTATGGTTTGTGATATTGTACTCCATGGAATGGAAATATATTTAAAGTTGTTAGAATTGATATAGCTAGTGCTTATCAAGTTGAAAATGACTCAGCTATCACCATTTCCTCATCATCATGCACATGCGTGAATCTAACAGATATACAAATTTCTCTAATTCTTACTCGATTTATGCCTTCCATGATCTTTTGATTACTTTTATTTAATCAATGTGTGGCTCGTTTGATCTCAGTTCTTCGTTGGTCAAAATTCGATTATGACATCAAATATTCTTGCTTTTCTCTGAAATTCTTATTGTGACGTCATGAAAAAAAACCGACCATGCCTTGTGACGTCACGTAGAAAGAACACATCTTTTTGTAGGTCGTTTGGAAAGAAGGATAAATATTGTCTTTATATCGTTTAAAAATCATTAGAGAATCAGATTTCACCACCAAATCTCGTGCAATACGATATTTATACACTCTCGACAGTTAAATTTAAATATTTTAAACGCTCGGCGGACCTCGCGTTTTAAATTTGAAAATTTAACTGTCTCTAGTGGATAAATATTTTATCACACTCGATAGCAGTGGTAGAATCTATATTTATCTTTGTCATAAAAATGATTTTCTTCGTCAGAAATGAGAAACAAAAGAAATAAAATATAACAAGCCTGTTTACATAAGAATATTGCAATATGATGTTATAAAGTGGGTTAACGGGATGAAGGGTGGGATATTTAAAATGCCACTGGGAAAACTATGTTGAATACGAAC